AGGAGGAGGAACACATTCTCCCATTTTGCTTTCTTATTCCAAACTTCTTCCCTTCAGAAAATGCATGTGTATCTGCTGCCATCTGCTGCTCATCTACTTCTTTCTTCTAGCCTGTAGTTTCTTATGTTTTATTATTAAGATCATGACAGACAAGGTATCTCAAGTCTTCCCATCTGTAACAACCCAAGACAGGCTGGCATGAATATGTTAAATTATTATTAAATAAAATTAAAAATTAAAAATTGAAATGAGAACTCAAATCTACTACTTTGTCAAAGCACCATTTTTTTTCAGGTGCTTCCCAACTCCTCTTTGAAATATTTCAACTATTCACTCTACATGTATTCAATGGGTTTATTAATTACCTGACATGTAAAATACTGTGTTAGGCACAAGGGCTACAAGAGTGAGTAGAAGGGACAATATCCCTGTCCTTATGTAATTTACTTGGTGCTCTGGGAGAGACACATGACACTTAGTTCTCATTTAAAGCTGAGAGTGTTATGAAGATAAGTGCAGGGTCATGGATAAGACATTTGGCTCTAACCAGAAGGTTAGCAATTCAAATCCATCAGCTACTATGGGGAAGGAAGGTGGTCCAATCTACCTCTGTAAGAATTTATATCCTCAGAAACCCAGTGGGGGTTCCTGTGAGTTAGAATTGACTTGATGGCAGTCAGTTTGTTTGTTTGTTCTAAGTCTAGTACAGGGTTTAACAAAAGGAAATGACTCTTAATAAGATGAAGGGAAAGGAGAAGAAATCAGGCAGAGAGAACCACATATGAAAAGTCCCTGAGATAGGTAGGAGGACAGTGAACTTGAAGAATTGGAAGGTGGCCAGTGTGGTGAGAGCTCAGAGATTAAATGGAGATAATGACATGACATGCAACTGCTGAACTTGGCCAGGAATCATTCTTGTTAAGAATTTTGTATTTTATTCTAATAATAGTGGAAGTTATTGAATGATTTATAGTTGGGGAGGAAATTATTATATATACACTGTATATTTTTAATGCTCATTTAGGCTGCAGAATGGAGAATGGAATGAAAGGAGCAAGAGCTGATGCAGAGAAATACATTTAAAAGTTCATTGTAGCATTCTAGGTCATAGACAATGCCAGCTTGAGCTAGGGAACTGGCAAGAAGCGGCAGTAGCTCAGACCAGAATGGGGGCAGTAAGCTAAATGAATGCAAGATATTCAGGAGGTAAAACCAATATGATGTGATGAGCCAGATGGTAGGACATGGAAGAGTAAAGGGTAGATGATGGAAAAAGGGAAGACTTGGAGGAGGACAAGGTGTTTGACTTGTTTTGGGTTGGTGGGAAGTTGTATAAAGAAAATAATTTAGTCTTAGATGTGCTGATTTTAAAATGCCTTTAAGTTGGCAAAGTCAAGCATCTATATGGGTCGAAGTATACATGGCTCTGGAGCCCAGGGACAGAAGCAGATGGTCCTTGTCAAATTACATTATTTACAGTTTTAGGAGTTGATGAAATTTCCCAAAAATGGAATATAGAGTGAGAAGAGAAGAGGTTTTAGACCTAATCATAAAGAGCTCCATCATTTCACAATTTGGTAAAGATGAGCCAGAAAAAGATAAAGGAAGTTACAGAAGTAAGAGGAAAATCTGGAGAGTGTAGTGTCTGAAGAAGTGTTGGCAGAAAATATTAAGAAAAAGGGTCTAGTGCTGTTGAAAGATCAAGTAAGATGAGGCTGAATATATCATTTGATTTGAAGCAGAGGAGGGCCACCTCATTGGATGCGGGAGATGGTAGAGGCCAAAGCTGATATTAAAAGGATTCAGGAGTGCTCTGGAAGGGAAGGAGTGGACAGGTGTATAGCATTCACTACGTATGCTACAAAACGAATGCTCATCTGTGGACAATACCAAGAATTTCTTTCCTCTTTGCTATGCTTCACTTCCTTCTGGCTGAAATACTACTTGTTTTGTTTTTGTGAGTAATTCCTTTATTCTAGCTTAGATAGAACCTCTCCTATACAATATTTTTTGTTTTCTTAAGAATATGGACTTTGTCTTATCTATGAGTGGATTCCTAGTATTTAATAAAACGTAAGCTCTTAAACTTATTGATGTGACTAATAATCAAAGCATGGACTTTCAAATCAGACAAACCTGAATGTGAATGTCTGCTCAGCTGCTTATTAACTGTGACTTTGCAAAGTTTACTGTATCCTCTGTGCCTCAGTTTTCTCTTCAGTAAAGTGGGGATAATAATTATTCCTACTCCATACAGTTTCTGGGAGCTCTGGTGGCATAGTGCCTAAGGGATTTGACTGCTAGCCAGAAGGCTGGTGGTTCAAACCCACCAGCCAAACCTGAGAAGGAAGATTGAGCAATCTACTTCCATAGAGAAACCACCTTGGAAATCCAAGGAGGGGTCACTATAAGTCAGATCTGACTCATCAGCAGTGGGTTTTATAAAGTTTCTGGGTGTATTACATTACATAATGTGTGAACAATACTTTGTAAAGTGTCTGGTATAGTAAGCATTCAGTATATGTTAGCCATTATATGCATTACTTTGGGATTATTCCTGTATAGGTTTCAAGTGCTTACTGCCCTTTTCCTTCCTTCCATCTGATACACATCCCCATGTCATTTACCACATGTTCACATTTATAGAATCAGAGCAGCATGCTTTGGGCTTTCCTTTCCCAGGATTGATCATGTCAACTGACCAGGAATGGAAGGAGCAAAGAAGGTTTGCCCTGACAACATTAAGGAACTTTGGTTTAGGAAAGAAGAGCTTAGAAGAACGCATTCAGGAGGAGGCCCGCCACCTCGTTGAGGCAATAGAAGAGGAGAAAGGTGAGAGTTTCACAGGACAGGTGCAGGAGCTTATGGCACAATCATTCATGAACAGATACTTATTAAGTGCCTGGGTTCCTTTCCTGGGCCTAGTGCTGTGCTAGGCACTAAAGGTATTGATAGTGAGCAACCAACCATGGATGCTGCCTTCATGGAGTTTATTACAAGAAGACAGGCATTAAACACATTACTGAATTTAAACCCTGGCCATAATTTGACTCCACTAGAAGCTCTGGTGGTATAGTGGATAAGGCATATGGCTGCTAACCAGAAAGTTGACAGTTCAAACCCACCAGCTGCTCCATAGGAAGAAGATAGAACAATCTACTTCATAAAGATTTACAGCCTTAGAAACCCAATGGGGGTCGCTATGAGTTGGAATCGACTAGAAGGCAGTGATTTTTTTTTTCTTTTTTTTTAGCATAGCCTGAATACTTGCCTTGTGTCAGAGCCTGTGCAGGGTGCTGTGTGCAGAGCCTCATATGTGGTATGTCATATAGTGTACACTCTCCTTAGAAAGCAGAAACAAATCACTCTGAAATATCCATCTCTTCCTTCCTCTGCCTCCAGGACAGCCTTTTGACCCTCACTTCAAGATCAATAATGCAGTTTCCAATATCATTTGCTCCATTACCTTTGGGGAGCGCTTTGAGTACCAGGATAGTCAGTTTCAGGAACTGCTGAAGTTGCTGGATGAAGTCACCTATCTGGAAGCTGGAAGGTGGTGCCAGGTAAGCAGTTCTCTTTGCACATGTTGGTTAATGATGTTGGGGCTGGTGTCAGACATAGATGGTTCTTCCTTTTTTTATTTTTAGCTACAATATAACCTTTTAATGAACTTCGACAAAAATCTATTTGAAATCAATCTGTTGACTTTACTGTTTTTAATAATACTAAAAACCACCAGCCACTCCTCGGAAGGAAGATGGGGCAGTATACTTCTGTAGTGATACTGCCTCGGAAACCCAAGGAGGGGTCGCTATGAGTTGGGTCCGACTCGACGGCACACAACAACAACAACAAATATTATTTAGTGAGAATGGCCAGATTTTATCTCATGTATTTCGGTCATGTTGTCAGAAAGGACTGGTCCCTGAAGAAGGATATCCTGCTTGGTAAAGTAGAGGGTCTGTGAGAGAGGGGAAAGCCTCAATGAGATAGAGTGATGCCGTGGCTGTGACAATGGGATCAAGCATCGCAACTGTTGTGAGATTGACACAGGACTAGACAGCGTTTCGTTCTGTTGTAAATAGGGTCGCTGTGAGTTGGAGCCAACTCGACAGCACCTAACAACAACAACCACAACAACATTTTTACAAAGAACATTTCTAACATTGATGTAAGGTACAGACTTTCATAATGCATACACCTGTACATATATGCTGTGCTATTTAAAAAGAACAGTAATATTGCCATTGCCTTAGAGCCCCTCTTCCTCTTTGTCCCTCTTTGATCCCACCCATTTTCCTTCTTCCTCAGAGGTACTTTCTGTGTCTGGCTTCTTGCTCAGCAGACTGTTTTCTGAGCAATCTGTGTTGATTGCTCTTTTTTTTTTTTTTTTTTAACATTGACTAACATTCCATTTTATGAGTATGCCACTGTTTGTTAATCTGTTTTCTGTTAGTAAACCTTTGGATTATGTATAGTTTTTGCATACTATGAATACAACATTCTTGAACAAATGTTTTTTTTACACATAGCCACTCTTTTGCATGTGTACCTAGGAGTAAAAAATACTAAAATGTTTCCAAAGTAACTGCACTATTTAGATCCACACAAACACTTGGTGTCATGTCTTTTAATTCCTTAGGGTGTTGCCCTTTGGGGTCCAAACTTCATACCCTTCCTTTTTGAGCCCCAAACCCTGGTTTGTGTTCCTCTAGGTCTGTGAGTCTGTCAAAAGCACTTCAGCTTTTTGGTTTCTTAGTAACTTTTATGGCTTTGGAAAACACTTGTTGTTGTTGTTGTTGTTGTTATGTGCCGGCGAGTCAAACCTGACTCATAGCGACCCCTCCTTGGGTTTCCGAGGCAGTATCACTACGGAAGTAGGGTTGCCCAACCTTCCTTCCGAGGAGTGGCTGGTGGGTTTGAACCGCCAGCCGTCTGGTTAGCAGGCAAGTGTCTTAGCCACTATGCTACCAGAGCTCCCTGGAAAACACTAGTAGGAGAAAATTGACCCCAAATGTTGAGCCTTTCTGGGTTTCCTTCTTCCCCTAGACCTTATCCCTGTGCTTCCTCACTACTGTGGGGGTGTGTGTGTGTGTGTTAATCTTATCTTGGTGCTCTCAGGAGGAGGGTTAGACTAATACCAGTCTGCCGTCGCCAAAAAATTGCCTTATTGATAAAACAAAACACACTTCTTGAAAATTTCAAGCACATATAAAAATAGAGAGAAGAATAAATAATGGATCATTCTATAACCCTCATTCAGCTCCAACTATTATCAACACATGGAAAATCTCATATATCTGTTCCAACACCTCACTATTGCTCCCACTCCTGGATTATTTTGATTTTGTGTTTACTAAGTTCTTGAGATTTTCTTCTTTTTTAGTTTGGTTAGAAGGATTGGTAATTCTCTTTGTGGTTATTCTGAAATAAATTCTTATTTCCCTAAGTTTGGGACAGTCAGAGACGTTGTCGTGACTTCCTCTCCATCTGGAAGTTTTGTAATTATAACATTGATTCCTTCTACTTGCTTTGTTGTTGGTGTCATTTACAGATTGACTCCTCTATTTCTCTGTATACATTTTTTATGTGCTTCTTTTGGGAATCTTTTTCTGGGTTGCTTTGTAAGTGGTAGTGTCAAGTGTCTTGATTTTAATTTATTGTTCTCCATTGTGGGTTTTCTGTTGGAAGAACTCCCTTTAGCATTTCTTGTAGGGTTGGTCTGATTTTCACAAATTCCCTTAATTTCTGTTTGTTTGAATTTGAATATTTTTATGAATGATGTTTTGAAACTTTTATGAAAAGACTTATTTGAATAAAAATGAAATAATATTATGCTGAAAATATTAACAATTCTTTTACGTCATCAACTACCTAGCCGATGTCCTGATCTCTCTTCATGTCTCTTGAGAATTTCTTAATGGTTGTTTTCTTTGAATCAGAAGCCAAACTAGGCCTATGTCTTGTAGTTGTCACATATGTTTCTCAAATCTCTCTTATGTCTCTTAAATCATTTAACATTTACTCTATAGGCTCAAGCATACTCTGCATTCTCACCTCCCCCCCTTTTTTTTGCAAATTGTTTATTGACAAAACTAAGTCATTTGTCCTGTAAAGTTTACCATATTTTATAGTTTCCTGGTTGCATTACTTTGCCATTTAACAATTTTTTGTTCTCTTTGTTTTATATACATTAGTAATTAAATCCAAAGAGTTGATCAAAATTAGGTTTGATTGCTAGAAAGACTACCTTTTAAGGTGGTACATAATGTCTGATTGACTTTCTTTTTTTAAGGTTAATATGGATTCTTGTGTTTTCAACTTGATCTGCCTATTACAGCATCTCCCATCAGCTCTTCGTAATGGTTTAGGTACCATTGATGATCATTGCCAAGATCCACTTTTGTTGAAGGATTCAAGCTGGTTGTATTCTAATTCTTTTATTCATACTTTGCAGTGTCTTTGTATTATTGATTTTATATTCATTAACACTACTTCATTCGTATTAATATTATAATTTGTGGATGACTTCTTATGTAAATAATGATAGCATTGTTTCTTTCTTTCCAGTCTTCATACCATTAGTTTCCTTTTCTTGCTTTATTGGCTTGGCTAGTGTAGAGAGTAAGGTGATTGTGAGTGATAGGAAAATTGGTGATGGGTAAGTAAAGACCAGCTTGTGCAAAGGCTTCTAGGCCTAGGAAATCATGAGAAGTATTTTCTGAGTACAAGGGAGCCAAGGAGTGAAACAATCTGATTAAACTGTTAAATGATCACTGGCAGCTCTGTGGGAAATAGATTGGGAGTGGGATCAATAATGGAATCAGCAAAACTGTTGGAGACCATTACAACATCCAGGTAAGATATGATGGTGGTTGGTATTATGTGGTTTGAGCTGTGGCAAGCAGTTGGGGTGGTAAAAAGTGGTCTGAGGCTGGGCTTATATTGGATGGGGAACTGAAATGCTTTTTTGGAAGGGTGAGAGAGAAAGAGGAGTCAAGGATGACTCCAAGGTTTAAGTGTAAGCAAATAAAAGAGAGAGATGAGAAGACAGTTTCTGTTGTCTTAAAATGTAAAGTGACAGGATGTTGTCTCCATGATTGTTTTGTTTTTATCAATTAGCTCTACAATGTCTTTCCATGTATAATGAAATTCCTTCCTGGGCCTCACCAAACACTCTTTAGAAATTGGATGAAATTGAAACTGCTTGTTTCTCATATGATTGAAAAACACAAGAGAGATTGGAATCCTGCCGAATCGAGAGACTTCATTGATGCGTATCTCAAGGAAATGGCAAAGGTGTGGAAATCAAAGCTGTTTCCCAGTTTTGTTCTTTAAAAGAAAGTGGTGGTGTATTATATTCCATAATAAAGTATCTATTAAATAAATTATCATAAATGTGGCTTCAAACAACACAAATGTATTCTCTTACTCCCCAGAAGGTCAGAATCTAAACTCAGTTTTGCTGGACAAAGTTCAGGCATCATAGTGCTGGCCCCTTCTGGAGGCTCTGGGGAGATTTCGTTTCCTTGCCTGGCCCAGCTTTTGGAGGCACCTGCTTTCCTTGGCTCATTTCTCTTCCTCCATCTTCAAAAGCAGTAGCATAGAAGCTTCTCTCCTCTCTGAGCACTGCTTCTTTCTGACCTCACACATTCTCTTTGGTCCTCCTGCCTTGCTCTTAAAATACCCTTCATGATAACTTGCAGCTATCTGATAATCCAGTATAAGATCCTCATCTCAGAATCCTCAAGTTAATGACATCTGCACAGTACCTGTTCTATAAACCAAACCCCTTTCCAATGAGTCTATTCTACATCACAGAGACCCTAGAGTACAGAGTCGAATTGCCCCTATAGGATTTCTAAAGGTATAATCGTTACAGAAGGAGACTGCCATATCTTTTTCTCACAGAGTGGCTAGCGGGTTCCAACCACTGATCTTTTGGTTTGCAGCCAAGTGCTTAACCACTCACCACAGATCTCCTTCCCTTTTCTTTATAAGGCAACATATTCACAACTTCTAGCGTTTATGACATGAATATCTTTGAGAGTCATTATTTAGCCTACTACAGAAGTGTAAAAATAGGGGCACTATTTCAGAATGTAGAAATAGCATTAACTCAGGATTGATGAGACAATTATATATATATAAAGATAGAGATAGTCAAAACATCCTGGTTTTGTTACAATGATAGACACATAAACCAGTGGAACAGACTTGAGAATCCAGAAGTAGTTCTATCCACATACAGACAACTGATCATTGACAAAGGGCTGAAACCCATTCAATCAGGAAGAGATAATATCTTTAACAAACAGTGCTAGCAAAACTGTATATCCATTTGCAAAAAAATGAAACAAGATCCATACCTCACACCATATACAAAACAAACTCAAGATGGATCAAAGACCTAAATGTAAAACCCAAAAGTATAAAGTTCATCAAAGATAAAATATGGACAAAATTAGGGGCCCTAATTTATGGCACAAGTAGACTATCAAGCATAACCCAAAATGCACAAACAGCAGAAGAGAAATAGATGACTTGTACCTTCTGAAAAGTAAATTCTTATCCACATAAAAAAACTCTGAAAGAGTAGAAGAGAACCTGCAGATAGGAGGGGGGAAAATGGCAACAACATATCCAAGAAGGTACTGATCTCTAAAATTTATCGCAAACTTCAATATGTCACCATTAAGAAGGCAAACAATCCATTTCAAAAATGGGCAAAGGACATAAACAGACACTTCACCAAAGAAGATATTCAGACAGCAAACAAATGAAGAAATATTCCCAATCATTCATCATTGTGTTGTTGTTGTTATGTGCCATTGAGTCGGACCCGACTCATAACGACCCCTCCTTGGGTTTCCGAGGCAGTATCACTATGGAAGTAGATTGTCCAGTCTTCCTTCCGGTATCTGAAGGAGCAGTACATAAAAGGAAAAATTGGAATTGAGCATAAAAGCACTCTTGTAGTATTAGAAGGGTCTGTGCCTAGTTACCCGAGGAGGCCTGGTGGCACAGTGGTTAAGCCCTTGGCTGCTAGCTGAAAGGAAGTCTGTCCAGTTCTACCAGCCACTCCATGGGAGAAAGATGTGTCAATCTGTGTAAAGATTACAGACTTGGAGACCCTAGGGGGCAGTTCTTGTCTGTCCTTATAGGGTTGTCATTATAAGTCAGACATTTGACTCTTCAGATTAACTGTTCTTCCTCCTGAAGTGGGCAGATTGGTGGATTTTTTTCCATCCTCTCCTTTATTTCACATTCTTGGCATAGCATTAATAGAAGAAAGAGACTGTACTTGCAATATGGTGTTCAGGTATGGAACCAATATTAAGAGGACTGTTGACAGATTGAAGGATCCAGAGGATGAAGATGATATCAGGAGAAATAGGTGGTGGGATTTGAGAGATTAAGCTTGAAAACAAATGGGGAGATGTGAGAATTGTTGTATGAAAGGAAAATTGAGATTGTTTTTGAATTTATTTTTTCTTTGTAGCAGTAAAACACTTGATTATTTACTGTATTCTCATTGCACCTCAGGAAGCTCATCAAAAGATCTTGAGGTCATTTCCATTTTACAGAACAGGAAACTGAAGAAACTGAAGCACATGCAGATTAAGTAACTTGCCCTAGGTCATGTAGCTAGTGAGCATGTGGCTAATATTGGAACTCAAGTCTGTCACTTTCACATCCCGTTCTCTTTCCACTGCACTAATCCCTTCACCTCAGATTACCCGTGTAAGAAAATGATTGTTTTGATTTTCATCTACTCTAGTGCTAGAAGGCCTGGGTAGCTTGCAGCACCTGGTGCAGGCAGATGCTAATAATATTGCTGTACTACCCTATGCCTCCTGAAGAAGCCAAAGGGAAAGTTGTTTCTCTAGGGACCTTTCTTACCAAATTCCTTCCCGAGGATGACATGCCTCTGTGTTTTGCAGCAACCATGATTCCTCTGAATAAATCAATAAATATTTTTTCTTTCTAGTATACAGGCAATGCTACTTCAAGTTTCCATGAAGAAAACCTTGTCTGCAGCACTCTGGACCTTTTCTTTGCTGGAACAGAGACAACTGCTACTACGCTGCGCTGGGCTCTGCTTTACATGGCCATCTACCCAGAAATACAAGGTGAGCATGTGGTTGAATGTGCCTGGACCAGGACAGATGAATGCCTCCTGGAACACACTGTCCAAGGGTTGTGGCCTAATAGCATGTTAAAATGAAAATATAGATGGAACAGTCATAAGGTAGACTCAGGAACTGGCACGTTCTTTAATTTTTCTGTCAGGGATTGTGATGGGTCCTGGTAAGGCAAATATAACCTGTCCCTTCCCTCAAGGAGCTGAGAATCTAGTGGGCAAACCAAGTCAGTTAGATACTGTGTTAAATTTCACAAAGAGTGACATTATTTTATGAAAATATGATCTTTAAGTAATGACTTACCATCATCCTCTGGATAGTATCCAGATATCTCATTCTGGTATATAATATCCTCTGATGTGCCCTTTTCTGCCACCTTCAACCCTACTGCTCTACATGCTGGCCTCACCAGATCGCTTGTCATTTTTCCATTGCACTGTCCTTATTATGCCTGTGCTCATTCCCATGTGTTTTTCCCTCTACCAAGAATACACTTTCTTAGTTCCTGTATATGGCAAACTATGAATATGATCTGATACTGCCTCCCTTATGCTGTTTTTCAACACTTCAAGCAAAATACTAGCAAATTTTCTTTCTTTGGAGAGAAAAGGAGGAAAAATCTCTTCCTGTAAGGGTCTGTTCAAAGTGTTAAACATCACTTCTACACATTCTCTTAGCCAAAACTTAGTCATATGATCACAACTTGCAAAGGAGTCTGGGGACTGTAGTCTTTAACTGGGCAACCAGGTGAAATCTTTATTACTATAGAAAGAGAAGAGAACAGATATCTGGAGACAGTAGAAGTTTCTGTCATTTTTTGAGTGCTCATCTAAATCAATTCATGAATTTTCAAAATATCCTTAAAATGAGTATAGATTTATCCCCACTAATCAGATGAGGAAACTGAGGCTCAGAGAGTTTAATTAACTTACAACCATAATGTTTTAGATGTTTTAGAGCAAGAGTCTGATCCACATTTGTCTTACACCAGAGCCCACTTTCCACTCTTATATACTTCCTTAAAAAACTAGACTCTGTAGAGCCTATGTTAATCTTAATAGCTACCACAATGAACTCCAACATACCAATGACTGTGAAGATGGCGCAGGACCTGGCAATGTTTCCTTTTGTTATACATAAAGTTGCTATGAATTGGAGCCAATTCAGTGACAACTAACAACAACAACAACACTCGAATCTTAGCCATTTTGACCTTGGTTATTCCATTCCTTAGCTTAAATGGGCTCAAAGAAAGTTATGGAGTTGAACATTTTCTTAATTAGCCCTTTAAAGGATTGAGAACTATTTTATTTATTTTTTTTAACCTGCTCTAGCTAATTGAGATACAACAGGTGAGACCTTGGAGACCACCTCTACATCTTTGGAAGACAGCATACAAGTTTAAAAAATTAGAGAACATTCTCTTCTTTTCCAGAGAAAGTACAAGCTGAGATCGACAGAGTAATTGGCCAGTCACAGCAGCCCAGCACCACTGACCGAGAGCACATGCCCTACACCAATGCCGTCATCCATGAGGTGCAGAGAATGGGCAACATCATCCCCCTGAATGTGCCCAGAGTAGTGACGTTTGATACCACTTTGGCTGGATACCACCTGCCAAAGGTAATCAGGATCTCTCAGACTCAGGTCTTCAAGCTTATCTTTTTCACAGTCGGAATCTAAACTTGAAAAGGTACACATATTTCTACCCTAAGGAATCAGTCAAATGGGGAGAGAGATGCATTACACATCATAGAATACGGGTTTTTTTTCCTCCAAGTTTGAGCTTCAGAACATTAGTACAACTAGGTTTTAGTAGGTATTGGTGGGCAGGAAAGAGGTGGTTGGAATCAGGGACTCTGTGGCCAAATAAGTTCAGGGATAGACTTTTCTTTGCTGTGGGACTTCTCAGAGTTTTTGCTATACTAATTATCATTTTCACCTTCCATGTGGGGGACCTGGATTCAATTTATGGCCAGTGCACCTCAGCACAGCCACTACCTATCAGTGGAGACTGAAGCTGATGCTGAACAGGTTTCATGGAGCTTTCAGACTAGGAAGAGGGACTAGGAAGAAAGACCTGGTGATCTACTTCGGAAAACCAGCCAATGAAAATCCTATGGATCACAACACTATAATCCCATTTTATGTGGGGCCGCCATGAATTGGGGGCAACTTGATGGCATCTGACAACAACAGTGTGCATTGGCCAACTTTGTTGAGATACAGCAGGCAGCAGTTCTCAGTCACACTTTGCCTCAGAACCCTTTTCTTTCTCTTGGTAGAATGTCTTGCAGGACTAGACACTTACTGCATGTAATCCTGGGGTTGTGGAATGTCAAATGTGAAGGCACATTTGAGAACACCTGTCAACATCTCATTAATGCCAGTGTTTCTATCATAATATCCTCACAGATATCTTTCACTCACAACTCCAGTAATAGGCAACTTACTAACACAAAAGGGACGTCAACCAAGATGTGTGCAACATTAATTATTAGAAGAGTGAGAAAGGAGCCAACATTTATCAAACAATTATTGTGTGCCGTGGACTGCTGAGGTTCTTTCAAAATGTTCATGTGGTCCTCAGAATAACTCCTCATTATAACCATTTATCAGATTGGGAGGTCAAGGCTCGGAGAAATTAAGCAGCTTCCCTAAGATCCCTCCGCTGCTAAATGGCAAAGTTAGATCCAAACTCTGATCTGTTCTGATTCTAAGGATAGTCGTCTTTGTTGTGCTGTACCACATTCCCTCTATAGGAGTTTTACTTTTACTTTAGAATCTGCTTGTAATTTTCCTCAATTATTGCTATTGTTAGCTGCCTTAGAGTCAGCCCCAGACTCATGGGAACCCTATGTACAAAGGAACAGAGTGATGCCCACTCCTGTACCATGCCCACGATCAACTGTGGATCAGATCATTATGATTCATAGAGTTTTGAATGGCTGGTTTTTGAAAGTAGATTCCTGTTAAATTCCCCAGACCTAACAAAAGAATTCTGATCCCACTCTCCCCACCAAGCCTATGATCTCTGTATATAGCTCTCCAGTGCCCTCTAGTGTACAGACTACACATTCTCACATCACTTGTTTTCTCATGGTCTGGGTCAGCCTCTGACTTGTCTGTGTTCCTCTGAGTGTGTTGTTCCCCAAAAAAAATCTCAAAAGGCAGCACGAGAGGAGCTTGGCTTACCCCTTAGTCACCTTTTGGCTGCTCCTTCATCACCCCTTAGACACTGTCACCACAGAGCCTGGGACACCGGCTGCTCATGCAGTGATTTCCTTACTGATTGGTTATCTTGTGATGAAGATTGATGTCTAAAATGCAGGTGCTGCTTGCATTTTCCTACCAACTCATGGAACTCCAATGAACCAGCCTAGTTCAACAGATTGATTGATTTTTAAAGTCAACTTTAATAACCAACCTGGGAACTAAGAATTCTAATTGACTGTCTAGTCTACAGAAGGAGCTCTGTTCAAATAGTGGATACGGCACTTGGTTGCTAACCAGAAGGTCAGCAGTTCAAACACACTAGCTGCTGTGTGGAAGGAAGAAGAGGTGATCTATTTCCATGAAGATTTACAGCCTCAGAAACCCAACGAGGGTCACTATGAATCGACCTGAAGGCAATGAGTTTGAATTTTTTTTTCTTTTTCTTTTTTTTTTTTTTTTTTGAGTCCACCAGAGCTCCTTTTTAATATAGAGAATGAGAGCCAGGGCCTCAGACAGACCTGGTTCAAATCACAGCTCTGCCACTTCCTCCTGTGTAACAATAAGCATGCTATTTAACCTCTTAGAGTGTTAATTTCTTCATCTGTGAAGTACATATTGAACCTATCTGCCAAGATCCATGTAGAGGTAGCATAGTCTTTACTATAGAGCATTTTACCTATGATTTATTGTAGATAGTGCTTCAAAATAGCAATTATTCTTTATTAATTCAACACGTATCCATTAAGCACCTAATGTGCTCAGATCTGGAGGAACAACCCTCAGCAAGGAAACTATCATGCAAATGATTAGGCTGGATAATTACAAACCGGGAAAACTTACAGGATGCTATAAAGTGCAAATTAGCTGGAGCAGGGAGTAGGAGCAGGAGTGGTCAGAGAAGGCTTCCAAAAGGAAGTCATGTTTGGACTGAGAATTAAAGAACATCAAGAGTAACTTGGTGACAAAATGGGAAAAAGAGCATTTCAGGCACCAGGAATGACATTTTTTTTGGGGGGGGGGACTTGAAATGAGTGGGAACATGGCATGTTTGAGAAATTGAAAAAAGACCACTGCAGTGGGAATGCAGGCAGGACACGGAGGGTGGCCCAGACAAGGTCAGATGATGGGGCTTTAACCAAAGACTGATGGGAAGAAACTGAAGGGTTTTAAGTTAATGGTAAGAGTGCATGGTTAAGTGTGGTGTGATAAACCATTTTTAAACTCACTGTGCTTCCATATAATAACAACAACAACATGCTTTCACGACGCAGAGCAAATTAAAAGGGCAAGAGTGGGTGTGGGACATATTTGTTATTAGCTGCCACAAAGTTGGCCCTCGACTCATGCTTTCATGGAGACTCCATGCACTACAGGATTGGACCTTTGTGTTCCATAGGGTTTTCCTTGGCTGATTTTGGAAAGTAGATCACCAGGCCTTTCTTCATAGTCTGACTTAGTCTGAAAGCTCTGTTAAAACCTTTTTAGCACTGACGGGGGTGGCTGTGCTTGAGGAGCATTGACTGGAATTGATCCTGAGTCTCCTGCGTAGAAGGTGAGGATTCTACTGCTGAACTACCACTGCTGGTGAGATTTAGTTAGGACACTATTATGGGAGTATAAGCAAGCAAAGTGGTAGCTTGGACCAGGGTGGTGGCAGTGGACATAAAATCAAGGTGACACGATGAAGAGAAGTTCAATAAATGAAATGTCCCATTCTTGCTGATGGATTGGATGAAGGCAGAGTACAGGGAAGGAATGCATTAAGGACAACTCCTAAGTTTCTTGCTTGTGTAACGGGATGAATATGGGTGCCCTTCTTGGGCTACCTGATTCTATTATTAAGCCTCCTGGTGGAGGGGGTGCCATGTACTAGACATAAGAGAGAAGAAAATAAGAGAAACAGAGATGACTCAGACACCATTTATCTTTGAGGAGCTGCCCCAGTTGTCCCCTCACTGAGCAGCTGGGTTGATTTTGGTCCACTGCTATCTGGCCAGCTGCTCCATTATTACTTCCTGCTGCATACATGTCCCCTCCCAAGTCCTGCACTGACATGTTCTTCTAAAAATACACTCCACAGTCAATAGTAGGCAAATTCCCTGGTAAAATTCTCAGCAAGCAATTCTGATCCATCACTATGAACTGTCCCATGGCAAAGAACAGAGTCCTGGGGTGTTGGGCTCAGGAAACCATGGGCTTGGGTGTGGTCAAGGTGTGGGAACCAAGGACTGCCACCCTCTGTGAATGTGTGTTGTGTGGGTCAAGCCTTGCCTGAGTCTTTGCTGCCTTCTCTAGGGGACCATGGTCCTGACCAATCTGACTGCACTGCACAGGGACCCTGCAGAGTGGGCCACCCCTGACACATTCAATCCAGAGCATTTTCTGGAGAATGGACAATTTAAGAAAAGGGAAGCCTTTCTGCCTTTTTCAATAGGTGAGTTGTAATAAATAAGAGTGTGAAGATCCAGAGTCCCTCTGTCAGCCTTCCCTACTGTCCTCCCATTGTCTTTGGCTTTAGTTGGAATGTCTCCACATGGCCCTAGGCCAAGGTGGCTCCATCTTGCTAAGTAAAAGAGTGAAAATTCTCTGGGCTGGGTATTACTTTACACTGCCCCTTCCCTCCTGAGCCCTCCCTTGCCTCTGATGGGTATTTCAGTCTCACTTTGTTCCTCCCTCCACTGTCCTGGGGACAGAGAGACCCAGACCATGCCTCTTGCTCAAGAGGAAGGTTGGGCATCTGCCACCTTCATAGAGTTTTAAAATATCTCAACTCCTTTTTAAAGGTGTTCTCCTCCATAGAAATAGAACTGGTTTATAATGAGGAGCTAGGGATGGGGAAAGGAGAGGGGACCACTTACCTTCCTGGGTGTCAGTCAGTGACTGTAAATGTCCTGGACTGAACTAAATCAGGATCTACTCTGTAAACACTCCCTGAAGAGGTTCTTTAGCCTTTTTGCATTTTAATAACCTTTTTAAAATCTAGTGAATCATTACATGGGAAATGTAAACCTAAACCTGTAGAGGTTGCAATGGAAACTCTCATATTTCCAAGACCACCAGTTCTGAAAGGGTGTTTTGTTTGTTTCTTTGTTATTTTGGGGTTTTGTTTGTTTGTTTAACTCCTAACATTATAAATTAAATAGTAATAATTTTTAGCATATTCCACGTATTGAGTTAGATATGTCATATGCATTATTTAAAGTAATTTCCCAATTCCCTAGTTCCATAAACACTTACTGAGTATCTATCATGTGTCAAGCATTCAACTTTGAGGATAGGACAGTGAAAAATATAGAAACAATAAACGTGCTGTCATACAGCATACGTCGGAGTGTACCTTACAAGGCTCAAATTATTGTCTCCACTATAAACTAAAAAACCAAACTCACTGTCCTCAAGTCAATTCCAACTCATAGTGACCCCCTTTGGGTTTCTGAGGCCATAAATCTTTACAGAAGTAGATTGCCCAGTCTTCCTTCCATGGAGTGGCTGGTGGTTTTAAACTGCCAACCTTCTGGTTAGCAGTCAAATGCCTTAGGCACTACACCACCAGAACTATAGAGATAAGGAAATTGAGGTTTATAGGGGTTAAGTATGACAACTAAAGTCTTAAAACTCATACTTTGCAGTGCCAGGACTTGATGCCAGCTATTTTGACAAACACCAAAGCCTGTGCTCTTTCTAACACCATCTCCCAACAATAACTAAATTCTACACAGAACCCGTACTGTAGAATACATGATAGTTTGCTCATGCTGAACTTAAATAAAATATACGCTGATTTTTGAAAAAGCATTATTTTGCTGATGATAACACTTAAGCTCAGGGAGAAAGGTAAGAACTGGAATTTGAACCCACGTTCGTGTGACTCCAGAGTTCAAGGTTTCCCTCTGTGCTGCATTGCCTGCCCTGTGTCTGGGCTAATTCTAATTACATGCTTTTTGTCTTTCTTCATCTTGTTCTCTGTCACCTTTGTTCACTTTGAACAAGTCACTTTCTAATAATGAAAGCTGATACTTAGGCATATTTTCTAGATTTCCTGTCAGCAATATCTTCAAGTTTTGTGTTACAGCACAAACATCCAGCAGTATAATTCATTTACTAGAAGTATTCTTCTTCCTTGGCTCTTGAACCAGACCCATGTCATGCTGGAAATGTGATCCTCTATGTATTCCACAAAAAAAATGCCTTTGTCTAATGCTTGCAGCTCTGGTTGTGTAGTGGTTAAGGCATTTGGCTGCTAACCAGAAGTTCAGTGGTTCAAACCCACCAGGAGCTCTGTGGAGGAAAGATGAGGCAGTCTGCTTCTGCAAAGTTTTACAGCCTTAGAAACCCAGTGGAGGTCACTGGGAGTTGGAATTGAATTGGTGGCAGTGAGCTTGGTTTTGTAATGCTTGCTGCAAATTTGATGAGACAAGTCTTAACAGATGTTCATGACTTTAAGAGGAAGAAGGATCTAGGCTGAGTGATGCCTGGATAACTTACCTGCATGTGGCAGAAGCTTTCCTTGCTTATATCTCTCCTGCTAAAAACTTTCTCCATCTGTTAGCTGGAGCATAAGAAACCTCTACACACAGTCTTGCTGGGACTTTGCTATCCAGAATGATATCTTATCCTCTTCTTTATAGATTTCATTTACAAGGAAATTATCTCATTTAATCTTCCCAGTAACCCATTTATTAATGGTTAGAAACAAAGTATCTTAATATAAGGAAACTGAGAATAAGAGAGTTGTTTTTAACCCAAGAACATGTGCCCAAGGAACTGGCAGAACAGGACCTAAGACAAGTTCTTATACTTCAAATCTAATGTTCTCCCCATTTCAGCTGGAATGTAGTGTACCTTTCCACTTAACAGTCCTTCCACTTTAAGTTCATTAAGTTCATATTATATGTATTAGTAAGCATATTGCTGTGTAACAAACAGCCCAAAACTCAGTGACTAAAACAATAAACATGTATTATTGCTCACAAGTCTACAGGTCAACTGTGAAGCTCTGTTGATCTTGGTTGAGCTGTCTTACTTGTTTGGGAGGTCATCTGGCTGGAAGCTGATCTAGAATGGCCTCAGCTAGGACAACAGGTTCATTGTCACTTTCTTTCTCATCTTCTAGCAAGCTAGCCTGGACTTGCTCACATGGAGGCAGTATAATCTCAAGACAGAGAATGGAAACTCACAAGACCTCTTAAGGTCTAGGTTTGAAACTGGCACAGCATCACTTGCATGGCATTCTATTGGTCAGTGCAAGTTATAAGACCAGCCTCACCTAAAGGGGAGTTGTCAGTTTTCTACTGTCGCTGTAACATATGTACCAGAAACAAAATATATTTTCTCACAGTTCTGAAGGTTAGAAGTCTGAATTCTCAGTGCTAGCTTTAGGGGAAGTTTCTCACTCTGTCAGCTCTAAGGGAGAACCTTGTCTCAACTTTTTTGTCCTTCATATCCCTTGGGTCCTTGGTGATCTTCACTGGGCATCTAACTTCCCCCATTTGTGCTCTCTTGTCTCTGTGTCTGTGCTGCACTTTATAACTCAGAAGGGATTAGGGTTAGATCATACCCTACGCTGATATGGCCTCATTAACATACAAAGAAAATCCTAATTCCAAAGGGTATTATATCCGTAAGTATTTAAAAAAAAAATCTAGTCGGTTCCAACTTATGTTGATCCCATGTGTTTCAGAATGAAACACTTCACTCCATAGGGTTTCCAATGTTGATAGTCTTACAAAAGTAGATTACCAGGCATTTCTTCCGCAGTTCCGCTGGGTGGATTTGAACTGCCAACCTTTCAATTAGTAGCCAAATGCAAACTATTTGTGCTACCTGGGGACCTTCTGCACAGGCATAAGGTTAGGATTCCAGTACATATTTTAGGGGAGCACACTTCAGTCTGTAACAAAAGGGAAGAATGACTATAATTTTTAATGAGAAGAGCCATGAAGTCACACTACAAAAGACGTCATGGTGCAGGAGTTGGGAACATTGGAACATTGGAGCCTTTTTTTTCCCCCTGTAATTTCTTGGTCTCACCAATGTCTGACTGAGAAGAATGAAATTTAGAAAAGGGGCAAGTGATTGTCCTGGGACTCCCATAAAATATGTGATAGAATGAGGACCAGTTAAATGAAATGGGAAGTAGAAACCTGAAAATCCAGGGATCAACAAAATATCAACCCAACTGGCTGTTTTTTTCCAACACACTCCCAACTTTGACAGACAGTTGCTTTTCCTTACTCATGCACTGTTGCTGTTGTTATTGTTGTTGTTATGTACCGTCGAGTCAGACCCGACTCATAGTGACCCCTCCTTGGGTTTCCGAGGCAGTATCACTATGGAAGTAGATTGCCCCTTCTTCCTTCCGAGGAGTGGCTGGTGGGTTTGAACCGCCAGCCTTCTGGTTAGCAGTCAAGTGCCTTAAGCACTATGCTACCAGAGCTCCCCACTCATGCACAATCAGGGCAGATTGCAGAACTTTTATCACAATTCATCTTTTTACCCCATTTAAGTTCTTCCTTCCTATTTGATTCACCAAACAGCAGGCAACTTCATGAAAGACATGATCTATTTTCTCATTTCTCAAATAAATGACTGGATCATAAGAGGTAAGATTGGAAAGAACTTTGCCAAAATCCTAGGTCAGCTCTCTCATTTTACTAAAGTTGTAACTGACATGGTTGGTTAGAGAAAGCCAGTTCGTGGAAGCACCCAGGATAAGGTCCAAGTTTCCCTTAAATAGGCAAAAGCTTTGAATCACATAGACCCAACCTTCATGCTTTTAAAAGAAAATTCATCCTTGCTGTCTCAAGATCCTTGCAAGCTACACAAAATAGTTAGGAGAGAGATTATTTCACTTATTTGAAAGTGATAAAAATGTAGCTCCATGAGAATGAACGGTTTACTCACATCCACACAGCTGATTAATGACAGAAACAGTATTTTAACTCTGGTTCCTGTCTCTCTAGGTTCAGTTTTGTTGCAATATGTGGATTCTTCTAAGAGAATCTCAGGCATTTACAGTAGCACATTGATTCCTTACCATTTCAACAAATTTGCTAATTGTTTCATTTGTGATGGGTAAAGAGATAACAGGTGAAAGAGGAATTAGACACACACTTGGGAGAAACATAAACACAGAAAAATGCAATAATGACATAACTGTGAAGCATATTTACATTCATGAACACTTTTACGTGTATTATCTAATTTATTTCTTAAACAGACCTTTATCCATAAAAACCAAACTCACTGCCATGGAGTTGGATCCAACTTATATGACCCCTCCTTCTGAGGCAGTATCACTATGGAAGCAGATTGCCCATCCTTCCTTCCGAGGA